AATTTTTCACACACACTCCACTTTAAGGCTAAAAACTCAAGCTTGTGTGCTGGATATCTCTTCCGAGAGTTACTTAAGGACTTGCTTGCGAATGCAATAGGGCGCGCTTTTTCCTCGCCTGCTGGTATCTGCGATAGCACAGCACCAAGACCTTCAAGAGAAGCATCAATTGACAAAATTAATGGAAGAGAAAAATCGGGATGTGCCAGGACCACACTCTGCAGCGAGCTCTCTTTCAGTTTAGAAAGGGCATCATCACACTCTGGGGTCCAGTCAGTTGGCTTCAGCTTTCTGTACATGCCTGCCTTAGCCTCAGTTTTGACCTTTGTCCTCCTTTTCTGCCTAGCAGTTAGGGAGAAGAGTGGTTTGGCAATGAAGGAGCAGTTAAGGATAAAGTGCTGGTAGTAGAGGATCATTCCCAAACCAGACTTAATCCTCCCTACAGATAGAATGCACCCATCTTCTTCCACGAGGTCAGCTTTTGACAGTTTTGCTATCGCTTCAACCTTTGAAGGATCAACAGAAACACCATTCCCATCAATAATCTGGCCTAAAAACTTAACGGACGCTTGCATCAGATGGCACTTTTTTGGACTTAATTTGAGATTGTGGCTCCTCAATCGTTGGAATACTATCTTCAACCGCTCCAGAGCTGCAATCTCATCATGCGCAAACACCAGTAGGTCGTCTAAGTAACACAGCAGACTACTAAAATTCAGGTCCCCGAAGATACTTAACATCATACGCATAAAAGATGCTGGGCTATCACACAACCCTTGAGGCATCATATTGTACTCAAAGGAAAGGACGCTCATCAGTTAAGCGGATGCGGTGAACAAAACCTCTGACCTCCCCCGCAATCCAGAGCATGTTTGGAGAATACATCATTGTAGTTCTCAAGCAACTGGATGAGCCTTTCCTTTGCTGTATCACTGGCAGAACATGAGTCGATATCAATGTCACTGAGGCTTACGGCCCTAAGTCTCTGTTTAAGATCACCTGTGACACCAGGTCGGGAAATTTTCTCGGATGTGGGCACCTGAGCATGACTGAAACCCTGCAACAGCTCAAAATCTTCCACAGCAAGGCACGGGAACACATCAGCTAACTTACGGTTCCTTTTGAGGGTGACCGGCTTGTCTGAAAGGTTGGTAACTTTTAAAGGAACCCAACGATCTCCCCACAGAGGCTTAACAACACGGCCTATGATGATGTCCCGTGGCATGGTTCTGGAAGAAGTGGCCTCCACGATTACAGTGCTCCCTGGTGACATGGCAGTATTACTCGGCAGCCTTCCCCAGACAAGGTGTTCTTGTTTGGCCATTAGAGTAACTGACTGCTGAAGCTTAACAGTCCCAACCTTGTCTGGTGAATCTCCACCTCTCCAGCGGCAAGTATTCGCCATGACATCCAAGAATTGTTCACATGATGAAGGTGGCTCTGAAACACTGTTAGACAGAATCCTCCAGTAATCATCACTGATTTTCATTCGGTGCATGGGGAACTTAATCACACTGGTACCAATGATTAAATCATCCCTTTGTCCTGGTACAACTAGAACAGGCACCAAACATCTCTCACCATACAGTTTGAGCTCAACTTCATACATGCATTTTGGCTTGGTTGTTTTACCTCCACATCCTATTAACATTATTTCTTGTGTCAATGGTGTGGGCTTTGGCAACACATCTTCACTGAGCATTCTACTCTCTACTCTTATGACCTCTTATTCCGAGGTCACCGTAGCCACCAGATCCAGTCTGTATCCAGATCAGATGGTCTCTGCAGTCACCCGGATCCACTGCTTCACTGAAGGTACATGCCATAGAGTCCAACATTCCCTTCGTCTGGAATCTGTCATTCACATATACAGGTGCATAAAACAACTCATCAAACACTTCAAGAGATTGTGTATTCTGTGCGATCACTTTAATTTCAGCTGGAGCTTGCGCACATGCACTTTCATAAATTTGCTTAATATCCGCATTTTCGAGGGTTTGTTCCACTCTACCCACACGTCCCCTCTCCAAGTGTGGGCCGACTATTTTAAAGTCGGTGAACCTTGAGGTGGCTGTGCAAACTGGTTGCCAGTGCTGGGTTGACTATCTGCACAATTCTTCTTTATGTGACCAGGTTGGAAACAGGCAAGGCAGAATCGTTGTCGTCGACAGTGTGCTAAAGTTGAATGCTCATGAGAACGGCATACCTTACATGCTCTCATAGGTGATTGGCTTGGTCGAGGACACCTCATCTCCGCTTGACTATTCTGGGAAAGAGCACGGTCAAATAGACTGATAAGCGTCTTCATGCAATTATCATCATTCTGTGGAGGAGATGGAGTACTAGCATTAACATTATCAGACGGCACAACAGGGAAACCACTAACTGCTATCTCATTCTCTGTTGGTGACTGAGTATGAGCTGTAGCATTCCTCATAGCAATGGTATGCTTAAATTTGACCGCCAACTGTTCCTTTTGCTCAGTCTGATATCTGTCGAGATGCTCTTGTACTTCACTCGCTGTCCACTTATCTGGTGCTTTCAAGCGGAAAATGGTCAACAAAGTTGGATCGGGGCAGTATTTGACAAACATCATGGCTGCCTCCTGGCATGGGTTATCCATCTGTCACCCAAGCCTATTTAAAGCCTCATCTGCAACATCCACGGCCTTATTTAAACGGACCCAGTACTCGACTGGATTTTCTCCCGCAGCAGGTACTGTGCCGTAGAAATCAGCTAAAGGCATATAGGAAAATCTGACCTCGCTGAAATGCTGTTTCAGAATGTCAAATATCACTCTGGGGTTCTCAGAAGGCCTTAGGGATGTGTTACTGCGAAGGGTTATTCTAACAATGTCTTTGGCTTTACCCATCAGCCTCGAGAGGATTTCATGATGATGCTCCAACACTGGTATGCCTCTTTTCTGCAGTTAAGTGTCCACTAAATCATCCCACTCATGCCCACTGAACTTATCAGTTCCATCTCCTCGGAAAACAGGGGGCTCTCTTACTTCAGACTGCATGACCAGTTTAACTCCTGTCAAATTAAGTGAGGGTGCCTCTGAGAATGACTGACCTGCACCTAAACTTTGAGTCTGTGCATTGCTGGTTTCTCTTTCCCCACACCTTTACCCACTTTGATCAGAAATTATAGTCTGTCCTACTTCCAGAGCAATATGTGTTATGAGGTTATACCTATATGACTAGTAAGTCAAATCTCAAATAAGTGCCCTGATGACTTTTGTTCTACCCGCTTAAATTATAGTACTTGCGCTGTACAATCTATAAAGACTGTGTCTGTTCCCCGAATAGTGAGGTCAAAATATAAATTTAATGCAGGACTGACCTAATAAACTCTTTTGCAGTCAAGCAAAATGTCACCGGGCCCACTCATCGATTTAATTATACGCTAGATTTAATTATATCACATGGAATTGATCTTACTGATATAGATATCGTACCTCAAAGCGATGATGTTACTGACCATTTCCTTGTATCGTGCATGCTGCGTATTACTAATATTAACTATATGGCCCCTAGATTTTACACGCCAGTATGTGTGTGAGAGGCGTTCAACAGATTTTCACTCGATAAACGCTGACTGAGCGCTTGAGAGTTTCGCTCTCCATCAAGCGATCTGTACTAGTTGGATGCGCTCAATGGATCATGTCATGTACTCAATGGATGTGCAGTATGTAGCTCGCAGCGCACCTGTATTTGACGTACCGTAAACTAGTGTGAAGGTGCATGACTCGCCGTCACTTTACTGATAGCACTGTGTTCCTCACACATGCAAAGAGAGAGAGCAAGAGTCTTGCATACCATGCTGAATCGACGCGCTACATGTAAACCATATTCTTTGTTGTATTTTCCTGTCAAAATAACAGAGTTCATTTAGAATTATTCAACTTTTAAGAACAAGCAGAAGATATGCCGGTTTCTCGGCAGTGGGCGGAGCTAATGCGCGAACAGCTCTCGTTGGCTGGCGCTCATCTATTACCGTCCCTGTTTTGATTTCAGCAAATCCATTTCTGTTTTTACCAAGGGATTGACATCTCGTGGTAACTAGGATTTACACAAGCTTCAGTCTGGATCCAGAACACCTGAGAAGAGATGATGCCAACCCCTCAGAGGACCTCAGATGATGCCAACCCTGAAACAACATAAACTACCACATTTTGCTATAAGTTTGATTGCATCATATAATAATTGCTGTTAATAGTGTTCATCGTCTGTTTGATTACGTTTTTAATTGATTTTTCCGTACATTTCTGCCATATGTACATTAACTGACAGTCACCACTGATAAGCTACCACGAGTCACCACTGATAAGCTACCACTAAATATAGTAGAAACTTAATTTGCTGTAAAGTTGCTTTGCAACGATTTGTATCGTGAAAAGAGCTATACAAATAAACTTGAATTGAAAACTTTAATTGAATACCATGCTGCATCATTTAAGTCTGGGCTGACTGATAATGGATTATTCCTTAACTGACTAGGTGTTTGTTCAGTTATGCGAGTAGAACAGAATTCAGGCATTCGTCCTACATTACCCCTCCCTGCAAAAGGTGTAAATGAATGGTCACTGAGGAGTCTCCCTCTCGCAAAACTTGAATCTGACATGTCCCCATCAACATTAAAATTCTCTGCATTGAAACCATATGCCATCATCCCTCTTTAGGGAAATTTGTAAAATTTTCAAATGACAAAACTCATTAAGCACCAGCACAGCAAAATCATTAAGGAAACTAGAGGAAGAAAAATAAAAGTAGTAGTGCTAATTGTGTAGTAAAGTGTCCAGTTCTTTGAAAATGCACTACTTTGTGTTACTGTTCATCGAAACCTTGACTGAAGTGCAGCATCCACCGGTGATCAAACGGCATTGATCCTTGGACGAAGATCCGAGGCGAGCTGATCTTCATCCGGGTCACGGCACCACTGTAACTGGCCCCACACTGTCACTGTTACGGTCTGCGTTGTGTTATAAATGAAGATGATGGAGGGTTTATTAACATGGAGCATGCAGATGCTGGAGAGAGTAGAGAGAGAGTACAACAATGAGAAATGTTTTCATTCTGTGATTTTTTCCACCTCTCCTCAGCGTGCTCAACACGGTCTCAGTGAACATCACAATGATAACATCAAAAATACAGTTGAAAATAAATTGTTACAAACATTTATCCAAATATATGATATAATCTTCTGCAGACAATTTTAAATCAACCATGAATTAGAATTGATGAATTGAACAAAGTGATACAACATGAATAGAAAATCAAATGAACAATAAACTATACCTGGATGGAGTAGAGAGAGAGTACAACAATGAGAAATGTTTTCATTCTGTGATTTTTTTCCACCTGGACAGATTAAACACCAGTTAATCAATTAGCAAAAAAATCGCAGTGTTTTGCTGATGCACATACAGGTACATCTCAAAAAATTTGAATATCATGAAAAAGGTCAATATTTTTTGTCACTCATTTCAGAAAGTGAAACCCATATATTATATAGATTCATTACACATAGAGTGAAATATTTCAAGCCTTTATTTCTTGAAATGTTGATGATTATGGCTTACAGATAATGAAAACCCACAATTCAGTGTCTCAGAAAATTTGAATATTGTGAAAAAGTTCAATATTGGAAATTCATGGTGTCACACCCTAATCAGCTAATTACCTCTAAACACCTGCAAAGGTTTCCTGAGCCTTTAAATGGTCTCTCAGTCTGGGTCAGTAGGCTACACAATCATGGGGAAGACTGCTGACTTGACAGATGTCCAGAAGACGGTCATTGACACCCTCCACAAGGAGGGTAAGCCACAAAAGTTCATTGCTAAAGAAGCTGGTTGTTCACAGAGTGCTGTATCCAAGCATATTCATAGAAAGTTGAGTGGAAGGAAAAAGTGTGGTAGGAAAAGGTGCACCAGCAAAAGGGATAACCGCAGCCTGGAAGATGAGAGACACCAGACCCAACAATGCAGATGACCTGAAGGCCGCTATCAAAGCAACCTGGGCTTCCATTACACCTGAGCAGTGCCACAGGCTGATTGCCTCCATGCCACGCCGTATTGATGCAGTAATTCATGCAAAAGGAGGCCCAACCAAGTATTGAGTGCACAGAAATGAACATATTCATGAGCCTGACATTTCTGTTTAAAATATCCTTTTTTTATTGATCTTATGTAATATTCTAATTTTCTGAGACACTGAATTTTGGGTTTTCATTATCTGTAAGCCATAATCATAAAAATTTCAAGAAATAAAGGCTTGAAATATTTAACTCTATGTGTAATGAATCTATATAATATATGGGTTTCACTTTCTGAAATGAGTGACAAAAAATATTGATCTTTTTCATGATATTCTAATTTTTTGAGATGTACCTGTACATATACTCAAACCGCTGTACTCAGTAATAAAACTGGTAAATCCCATCCATCCACGAATAAAACACTTTCCAGTACATGTATAACACTCTTAACAATAATATTTTTGCATATTAGGTACTTAATAAAACTTCTGGTAACTTTTACAAGCTTATATTGAAGAAGCACCGCTAACTGCCTACCTCTCCTCAGCGTGCTCAACGCGGTCTGAGGACGCAGCGCGGGCTGAACAGAAATTAAGTCATGACGCAAAATGAATATAAATCTCTTTTCCCAAAAATGTTCAAATTATCACGTTTTAGTGAACAACTAATATAAAGTAAATACATGAAAATTGAAAGGAAGGGTCATTAGTGAAATACATTCATTTAGATTGTGAGTGCACACTCATCTGTCACATACACTCACAATATCAACAAAACATCGCGCTTTTGTAAAATAAAGAAAATAAACAGGGTGTGCTTTTAGCCGTCTCATTCTCTGGGCATATCTTTTTGAAAGGCGTCACTAAAATAAAATGAAACTCAGCGAATATTTGACACACATGCATGAGAGATATATCTATAGAAAGCTTGACATGTCTACTTTTAAACAAAGCAAGTCATGTCGAAAACAAATATTATGTGACAAAGTAATCAGTACGAAATCAACGCAATGTCAAGTCTTGCCTGTCTGCCTTCATTATCTCTAATGTGACCACGCCCACGAGCCGATCGCGCTTTTGATATTACAATAGTCCACGTGAGACACGCGGCATGTAAACGCCCACATCATAGCAAACAAAGCAGCGAGACTTTTCCTCAAGTTAATCTCGGCTACTGTTCGTTTCTGGAAGAAGACGCGCTGTGAGGAATAAGACAGAATTTACCTCAAGAAGACGCGCTGAGAGGAATAAGTTTTGGATTTTTCTCAGAAGAACGCGGTGGCTTGATATCCAGTGGAGGATATCATTTACACGAGTAAGTATTTTTTTATTAGCCTATTGCATTAGTTGTTATTGTGTTACTGTGACATAACTTGTACATATTTTACTAGTTAAGACTTTTTATAAACTATAATTCCTGACTATATGCATAATCAAGTGAAACATTACAAAGTATGTTTCATTCATTGAATCTAAATGTGTCACGATGCCAGGATGTGTCTTTAATATTCTATAAACACACTATGAATGTTAGAGTATGACTGTTTAGACAAAACTTTACTGTGATGCACTCTGTTCACAAATATATGTAGATGTTTAAGACGTGCTTAACAATAATAATTTTAGTTTCCCAGATATAAAATGTTTTTGTATTGTAGCCTAGAATTCACTGCATCTAATGTCTCACGACGCCATGATGTTTTTTTAATGTTCTATAAAATAGACAGCAACGATATAAAAGTAATATGAGTTATGATGTTAATAATGTAGTTAGAGTAAGAATGTTTAGACTAAACTTTACTATAGGCTCTGCTCATGAAGATCTTTATAGCGTGCTTAACAATAATAATTTATTTTTAGCTTCTGTTCGCGAATATCTGCTCTAGGGCTGCACAATTAATCGAATTTCTAATCGCAATTACAATTATGGATGCCCCAATTACATAATCATTCAAAGGTGCAATTAATCGTTTAAAGTCCACTTATGTTATTCTGCATGCTTAAAGGGGTCATATGATGCTGCTAAAAAGAACATTATTTGGTGTAATGAAATGTTTATGTGGTTTAAGGTTCAAACAACACATTATTTTCCACATACTGTACATTATTGTTGCTCCTCTTTGCCCCGTCTTTCTGAAACGCGTCGATTTTTACAAAGCTCATCGGTCTGAAAAAGCGAGGTGTGCTGTGATTGGCCAGCTATCCAGTGCACTGTGATTGGCCGAATACCTCAAGCGTGTGATGGAGATGTTACGCCCCTTACCATATTGTGACGATGCCCTGTCAGGCCGGAGCGATGATTAAAAAACATGAAAACCCATTATAAACGAGGCATTCATTGCATCCAGTGGGGACATAATTATGGATTATAATGACTTATACTGTCTTTTTACGCGTTGCGTTGCAACATAAAACCATGTCTGCGTGAGCAGAGGCCGGGGGATAAAGTGAGGAACGGCCGGAGGGCAAGAATGAGCAGAGGCAGCGGATTCGATGAAGGAGCATCCGACGGGCTTGCGGCAACCACAAGGTGTTATGCAAATCTTCCCACATAGTGACGTAGGTATGTGGGGGTGTGTTAGAATGAGCCGTTTTAGGTAGGCGTGGCTGACTCTTAACTTTTATAAAGAATATCTCTTTGGCATCATATGACCCCTTTAAGATGTTTTTTTTTTCTTGCTACAGGTTATCTTAAGGGTTTTTCCATTGTTTTCATTTTATTAATTATAATATCATGCTTTTTTTTTTACTTTTTTTTATTTAAAGAAGAAACCAATCCAATGTATAGTTGACATTTGATGCTTAATACTATAGGAAAGCAATAAAAGTTTTTCAGTTAGTGTTTTCAGCTTGTTTATTTTCATATAAAAATATGGCATGCAGTTGCTTCAAGCAATGGTATAAAGCTACTCAAAACATCAATTTGTGATAATCGTAATTAATAATCGCAATTACAATTTCAAGGGAATAATCGACAGTTCTAGTTTTGTCATAATGGCGCAGCCCTAATTAAGAGTGGACAATTATGATTTTTGTCATAATCGTGCAGCCCTAATCTGCTCTGGTGTAAATGTTTTGAATGTTTTATACTTGGTCATTGGCGTTCACGATCGTCTAAGGTGTAAATGTATCAAGTAAGCTGTAAATAAGTGACCCATCGACAGACATATACGCGTGTCCTCTCTTATCAGCAGTGTTGGGGGTAATGCATTACAAGTAACGCGAGTTACGTAATCAGATTACTTTTTTCAAGTAACTAATAAAGTAATGCATTACTTTTTAATTTAAAAGAGAATATCTGAGTTACTTTTTCAAATAAGTAACGCAAGTTACTCTCAACATACCTGTCCCCATGTTGAGAGAAATCAGAAGATGTTACTGTAGTTCTATAATAAATATGAATATGCATTAATTCATTTCACTCACACACACAAAAAAACAGATTCAGTATTCCTCAAAATGAATAAAAAAATAATGCAACTCAGAATTTGACGTAAACCTGCAATAATTCAATGTTAAACAACACAAATATCCTTTATGTTCCAGATTTAAAAAGGAACGGAAAAGGAACGTAACGCATTACATTCCATAAAAAGTAACTAAGTAACATAATTAGTTACTTTTTTATGGAGTAACGCAATATTGTAATGCATTACTTTTAAAAGTAACTTTCCCCAACACTGTGTATAAGACAAGTTTGTACAGTATGTAGTTGTAGTACTTTTAAAAGTAATGTTCCCCAACACTGCTTATCAGTGATGCAATTTATTATCAGCTATGCATCTTCTGGAAATTGCTAACAACTGTTTCAATTTTCATTTAGAACTGTGGCTGCATCACTGGCATCTTGCACAAGAAAGGCATGCGCATGTTGTTCAGTTTTGAGTTCGCTGGAAAATCATACTGTGTAAGTGCACAGTATAGTAATTGTACTTTTATTATGCCTAGACTATATGGTAATATTATTTATGGTTGATAGGGTTAAAATTTAGTTTCTTTGTTATTGGCATTCTGTTTTCTCATGAGGTATGCATACTATACTAAGGTACTGTGGGGAAAAAATGCTTACAATTGTTTAAAAAATTATTTTAGGACTGAATACACCACTCTTGCGTTCACCTGCATCTCTCACAGGAAGCGTGCGCTCGTTCAGTTTTCAACTCCATTCAGAATCTTAGAGTAAGTGTGCATTCACTAGTTTACAGATGTTACTTTCATTTGATTTATTTGCTGTATGGTACACTATTTTTGCTATGTGGTAATTGTGTTCTTTGTTTCGATAAATTAGTACTAGTATCAGTGAACATCATAATAATGTTAATAATGTAGTTTGTGTAAACAGCATGCTTACTTTGTATTTCAGATGTGAGAATAACAGTGCAAAAGAACCTGTTGCAAAGAGAGCCAAAGCAAAGCAGCCCACTCGGTCATGGAAATGGAGATAGTTTCTTTGTTATTGGCATTCTGTTTTCTCATGAAGTATGCATACTATAATGTACTGTGGGAAAAAAATGCTAACGATTGTTTATAAAATTATTTTAGGACTGAATACACCACTCTTGCCTTCACCTGCATCTCTCACAGGAAGGGGACGCTCATTCAGTTTTCAACTCCAATCAGAATCTTATAGGGTAAGTGCATTCACTATTTTACAGATGTTTCTTTCATTTGATTTATTTGCTGTATGGTAAACTATGTTTCCTATGTGGTAATTGAGTTTTTTGTTTCGATAAATTAGTACTAGTATCAGTGAACATCACAATAATGTTAATAATGTAGTTTGTGTAAACAGCATGCTTACTTTTTTTATTTCAGATGTGAGAATAACAGTGTAAAAGAACCTGTTGCAAAGAGAGCCAAAGCAAAGCAGCCCACTTGGTCATGGAAACCAGAGTCTGATGTTGACATGTTCCACAGGCTCTGAGATTCCTGCCTGCACAGGAACCTGGACCACAGCTAAGACCATGCGATGCATACACTCCCATGAGTCTCTTCAAAATGTTGTTCAAGTTTCCTGCTGTTTTGGATATTGCACCCATGATGTCTTGACTCTTGTGTTGTTGTTTATTTTTTTGTTCCTAATAAACTGTTTAACTGCACTCGCAAGTGAATCTAAAGTTATTTTATGTGATAGTTATATATATTCTAAATAAACTACAAACAAAAAATATATACATTTATTTTTTCCTTACATTCGTTCTTGTAGCAATTCCCTCTCAGTCTAAAAGAAATGTATATACGGCGCCGCAGACGGCAGCCTCAGTGTTTGGCTCTCTAGTGTTTGTACTGTTTTTGTTAGTTTTTCCTGTTTTTTGTTTCTCAAACACGATCAGTTTTACCAGGGATGAGCTGCTGAACATTCGGCATTTCCCAAAATGCAATAAATCCATGACACATTTTTTTTTTCAAAATTCAATAAATCCATTGAATCAATATAAAATTAATTTTTCATATTGAAACTGTTGAAAATACACAACATAGTAAGTTGATCCACATATGACAGCCTCTCTGTCACAAATTCAGCCTCTGTGGCTCCCTCCGATCACCACCAGAGGGAACCATCACCGGAGTACTGAGCGATCCCTTCAGACTCCAATTCCCACAATTCCCACTGCCAGAGACTAATCACCTGCACAGGTGTTTCCTATTGCCTATTTAAACTGTGCCTTCCCTGCCTTCCCTGCGAAGTCTTGTTTTGCCTTGCAGACATCTCTGAGCGTTTTTCCCTGTGTTGAATACCTGTTGATTACCTGGACTGTTTACCCGTTTACGATTGCTTGCTGCCTACCTATTCTGACCCTGCCTGCCTTGTTGATTCATGCCATTGATTGTCTGCCGCCTGCCTCGACCCTAATTACGAACACTGTTTACGATTCTGCCCAGCCTTCATTGTGTCTGACGCCAGTTAACGATTTATGCCTGTATGACCTGCCTTGTGAACTAATAAAGCTGCACATGGATCCTAACGCCACTGCCTCTCTGTTACAATTGTATTGTGTATAAATGTTCTACAGTCTATACACAGTATTAAGTTCAATTACATAAGAAGTAACTGTAATTAAATTAGGAAGACCCCAGCGTCGTCTGCCTCTGCGGGGCTCTGTCACAAATTCAGCCTCATGTGGCTCCCTCCGGTCACCACCAGAGGGAACCATCACCAGAATACTGAGCGACGCTTTCGGACTCCAATTCCCACAATGCCCCATGCCAGAGACTAATCACCTGCACAGGTGTTTCCTATTGCCCGGTCTATTTAAACTGTGCCTTCCCTGCTCTCATTGCGAAGTCTTGTTTTGCCTTGCAGACATTTCTGAGCGGTTTCCCTGTGTTGATTATCTGTTGATTACCTGGACTGTTTACCCGTTTACGATTGCTTGCTGCCTACCTATTCTGACCCTGCCTGCCTTGTTGATTCATGCCATTGTTTGTCTGCCGCCTGCCTCGACCCTGATTACGAACAGTGTTTACGATTCTGCCCAGCCTACGTTGTGTCTGATGCCAGTTAACGATTTATGCCTGTATGACCTGCCTTGTGAACTAATAAAGCTGCACATGGATTCTAATGCCACTGCCTCTTTGTTACAGAAGACTTCGCCAGAAATTGATCCAGCAGCGTTCTATCACTTCACCACAGAGGTATCTGCTCAAGCATCGGTTCTGGCCACACACCAGCAGCAACTAAGCCGACTTACCTCGCTAACGGAGGAGATGGTAAAGACCTTGCAAGCCCTTCGTCTGCAAGCACCCGAAGCTCCCGCCCCTCCTTCGAATCCACCGCTTCAAGCCCCGGTTGCACCTACCTCCACCGCCAGCCCTCGTCTGGCGTTCCCTGAGAAGTTTGATGGCTCACCCTCAAAATGTAAGGGTTTCTTACTCCAATGTTCCATGTTTGTTCACCAACAACCCATTTTGTATTCCACAGACGATGGTCGCATCACATTTGTCTGTTCGCTTCTCACTGGAAGGGCATTGGAGTGGGCTACCGCGGTGTGGAATGAGAATCAGACTATTTTCCCTTCCTTCTCGGCCTTCATCCAGCGGGTTAAGGAGGTGTTAGAACATCCCGCTGATGGAAAGGAGGCGGGTGAACAGCTGTTATCGTTACGCCAGGGCAGAGGTTCGGCGTCAGATTACGCTCTCTCATTCCGCACTCTCGCTGCACAAACAGGGTGGCTGGAGGATCCTCTCAAACTACACTTCTGCAGAGGTCTGAGCATGGATCTGCAGTCTGAATTAGCCTGTCGAGACGAGGGGAGATCCTTGAATCAATTAATTGAACTGGCCATTGGGATTGACAACCTCCTTTGCTCTCGTCGTCAGACTTCAGACTCGGCGGCTCCATCGCCACTTCCTGATGCGGAACCCATGCGGATCGGCTTTACTCATCTCAGAGCTCAGAGGAGAGAGAGGCGCATTCGCCAGAATCTGTGCCTATACTGCGGACTATCTGGACACATGAGAGCTTCCTGTCCCACTCGTCCACCTCGCAATCTTTCTGCGGTGAGTTCGAATTCCAGTACTTCCACTGCTTTAGAAATTCCAGTCACCTTAAAAATTAATGGGCAGATCACTGAGGCCATGGCTTTGATTGACTCAGGGGCTGCAGGAAATTTCATTGACGCTAGTTTTGCCAGTTTTGCCAATATTCCTCTTGTTCCCTGTACGTCTCATTTGGCAGTGGCAGCGCTAGATGGCTGCCCGCTCTGCCCGCTGCAAATTCAATTCACTACCACGGACCTTCAATTATGCACTGGAGCTCTTCACACCGAACTCATCCGCCTCTTCGTATTTCAATCTCCACGAACACCTATCATTCTGGGACTGCCTTGGCTAGAGAAGCACAACCCCTCTATCTCATGGTCCGAGGGACAGATTACACAGTGGTCAGAGTCCTGCCGTCAGAATTGTCTC